CTCCCACCTCAGCCTCCCCAGTAGCTGGGATTACAGGTGCATGCCACTTTGCCCAGCTAATTTTTTAAGTCATGAATTCAAACATATTACAAAAAGTTTGAACATTCATTGCTATCCCTCTTTCAAAGTGGACTCTAGAGAAATTAACAAATGCATGAATATTAAACTTAAGTATTTAATTTTCTCTCCCACTGTTCAATGCCTTCCTCTTGCCTTCCCAGTGGCATTCAAATGTCTCTGCACAGTAGTAGAGACTCTCCAGGCCAGGTGCAGTGGCTCAAGGCCTGTAATCCTAGCACTTTGAGAGGCTGAGGTGGGCAGATCCTTTGAGCCCAGGAGTTCAAGACCAGCCTGGGCAACATGGTGAAACCTCATCTCTACCAAAAATACCCAAAAAACAAAAAGAAAGAAAATCAAATAAACAAAATTAGTCAAGATGATGGAATGCTCCTGTAGTCCCAGCTACTGAGACTGACGTGGGAGGATCGCTTGAGCCAGGGTGTCCAGGCTACAATGAGCTGAGTTTGCGTTACCGCACTCCAGCCTGGGTAACAAAGCGAGACCCCATCTCAAAAAAAAAAAAAAAAAAAAAAACAGGACTCTTCAGATCTGGCTGGGCCTCAAATTTTCAGCCTCAGTTCCTATTAACTCTCAGTCTTGAACTCCACCCTAGTGTTCTTGTCATTCCTCAACTTTGTGATACACTTCCTGCTCCAATATCTGTCTTTGTCTTGAAGTCCAGTCATCCTGGAAAAGTGCTTTCCCTATCTCAACCATGGGAAATCTTCTATTTCCAGCTCAGACACCCAGTTCTTTTTATGATACAGCCATTATCTCCTCAGCTAGCTGCCCTGTGGCTGGTTATTTTATTATATCACATGGCAGTGCTTGCCTTGCAATTGTATTACACTTGTCTCCCTGACTAAAATTTAGTTTCTTATGGTCAGGGGCTGCTTTGTTTTATTCTTTTCCACATTGATTTAGTACAAAAATCAATGCTTTTCCCAAAGCCGTTCTTTAATAAAATATCTGTTCAACCAAATTTAGTCCCAAAATATAAGAATAGAGCTCTGAAACTTGTAGTAGCCTTTGTTGAAATTTTCCAAATCCTCCGAAAAGAAGGCTAAATTGCTTCTAGTTTGCTCACAATGACTGGAAGATCATGTTTTCAGCACTTAAAACAACTTTTCCTTGTCGTTAAAAACTGATAGACATTCATTTTAGAAAATGTGTGAAGACACACACAAAGGAAAAAGTCATCAGTAAACTACCTTCCAAGGGCAGTAGCTGCTGGCTTTTCCCCCATACATATGGAAATACTATTTGTTTTCTCAGAAATTCTCAACAAAGGCAATATGGAAATATAGACAAGAGCATGTGGGGGAACAGGAGCGGATGAGAGCTCCAAGGCTCTGGTACTTCGTGATTCTATGACCCTGGCTTAGTCTCTCCATCCCTCTCAGGCCCAGTTTCTTATCTGAAAATTACAAATATGAATCCTATTTTTTATTCCTATAAAGGTTTTAGAATGATCAAATTATAAAACATTTGATAATATTTTGTAAATTAAAAAATACTATATGTCTGGTTTTATTAGTATGTTAACTGAACAGAAGATGACTCTATAGATAGATGGAGTGGTCAGATTGAATCCTAAATAATAGTTCCAGCTGGATGGACTTCTGCCCACCTCAGTTACCTGAGTTACAAATAACCTTAACTTCACAAAAGGGAAAGGAACCTTTATTAAGCATCTATTATATGCCAGGTTCTGTGCTGTCTGCCTTACACTTGTCTTCCCGTAGCACCACAAATTGCCCTTTTATACATGAGAAAAACAGACTCAATGAGCAAAGCCACTGTATTGTAAGATTAAAACCAAGGTGCCTCTATTTTCACTATAGAGGGACCTTTTAAGGAAAGTATTTTCATGGAGTTCCTCTTATTCTTATGGAAACTCTTATAGAAACTTTCAGAGTGATGGAAAGACAGTAAGATTGGATGCATGAGTTATTTTGATACAGTTTCCCTTAGGGACATTTAAAGAAGTTGGGGTTATCTCATTATTTCGTCTTAGAAGAAAGAGTGAATAACTTTTGTTCTGCTTTGTTTTGTTTTTTGAGACAGGCTCTTGCGCTGTCACCCAGGCTAGAATGCTGTGGTGCAATCAAGACTCACTGTAGCCTCAACCTCCCTGGCTTAGGTGATCCTCCCACCTCAGCCTCTTGAGTAGCTAGGACTGTTAGATGCACCACCAACCTGGCTAATTTTTTTTTTTTTTGACAGGGTTCCACCATGTTGCTCAGGCTAGAAGAGTAGACAAATTTAAAAGGTGCTTGTTTGCAAGCTCATCAAAGGAAACAAATGGCAGATATTGATCTTTTGCATGTAATTTAACTAAAACTATCTTATAATAGAATTTGAAAGTTTTCATAGCATGGCTTCTTTAGACCTAAACAGAGCTGCTGAAGGATGCTATAGACTTTCCTTTTTGATAGAATATTTGTTTTGAACACGGCAGACTTATCTTTTTAGTACTTATTCATAATCCTAATTGGAGGTAGGAAAGTAGACTCAATCAAGGCTGAGCATTCAAGTAAACATGGAAGAAAAAATCATTATAAATTCTGCTGAAACTGTGATTAAAATAAATGATACAGCACAGAGGATCTAAAATGATATTACAGTACAGAGACACATGAGGGTGCTCTAACCAACTACTATAATAACTAAATTATTCAAATATTGGGGAAAAATTAAGGCCCGTCATGACTGGCAGTGATGAATTCTGACTTTTATCATTAGCTAGATAGAACAATCTTAGAATAGATGGTTTTTTAAAAAATAAAATATATTGTTCTCTCCTACCCCTCCCAGTTTAGAAAGTAGAAGATGTTCTTATCTGTCAATTTGAAAAATACTAAAAAGCACAAAGAATGAGAAAAAAGTGGACTGATGTTACCGTCAGCCCTGGGAGGCGGGGGCTTTCTAGAACTTTAGAGCCAAGCCAGTTGGAGGCTTAGCTCAGGAGGCCTGCCTTCAAACGCAAGCCCAGCCTGTTCTCATTTTGATTCCACAGACCTTCTGTTAGTACGAAGGGGGAGTGGAGACTGGGGGTCTAATGACCGCAAGAAGAGAATTAGAGACGCATGTTTATCTCAATACATTTACTCTCATTAAAGTTCATATTCACTGACATCATGCATCTCCTTGAAAAAGTCTGCCCACCCACCATTAATTAAAGCCACATTTTAAAAAGTCAGTGTATGCACTTTTATTCCAATCAAAAGTAGCCTCCTAAGTTTTGCAGAGCAGGCAGGAGAATATCTGAGGCCTGACAGCTGTTCACCTCTACACGGTGAAGAATCATGTGATTTACATTAAAAGTTGTGTTTATTCAGGGCCTAAAATATAATAGCTATGATCTATTGTCTTGAAGAGTTGAAACATTCAGTATCTACTGACCTATTTAGTGAAATTAACATTTATTTTGATAAGTCAATGTTCTTTTGGATACAGTCTGACCATATGCTTTTATCTTTCCAAATAGAGAAATCTAACTATATGCCCTGTTTGAACAATTAAGCAGCCCACTCCTATCAAAGACACCATACTTTATAACTTATATATGCACTATCAATGCTAGGACAAAGGTCAGTGTAAATTTTTTTAAATCCAAATCATTGCATAAACAGTAATTACCAATAGTTGTAGGATTGCACAACCATAGTCTATTTTCTTGGCAATAGTGGCTATAAGTTAATAAATTCATGAAAATTAGGAATGTTGATTTTTAAAGTTCAAGAAAGGTACTATTTGTAAATAGTTCAGGTCACACTCATCTTATTCCATGGGCTAAGCAAGAGTTCTTCCAACTTCCTTTATATGAGATTTCTTCCCTCTAGAGCCTTAGTAAAGGGGTTTTCATCCAAACAGATCAGCATTCTTTTCTATTATTTTTCCTATTAAAGCCCCTAAGGGACATTTCAATTTTATGCTGATCTTTCTTTATATATTAATATCGAACACATTTTTATGTGGTGCTGATAAGAGACAAATTATGGTTATCTCTTCCTATTGTCAATTAGATTATTCTAGAATTGTTCTGAACAAATATTTGATTTACCCAGACAGTATAAGCTTTCCACACAAAAGCATCATGTACAGCATCAGATTCTCTAGTTATTCTGGTCATACCACTGTACCAAATGACATGGGTCATCAATGGGTCTGAACATTGGCACTGAAATGGTTTAATCCTAGGGCAAAGCACCCCTGGACTAGGTATTGAGACCTGACTTTCTAGTCCTTTCTACTAACTTCTTTGTGACCTTGAGTACCTTGAGGGTCTCAGTTTCCTCATTTAACAAATGGTGGTTAGGAGGTGAATACTGACTGGAGCCCAGAAGTTAATCAGGTCTAGAGGAGAAGGGGCCAGAGTACCCTTTGGCGATCTTGTCTTTCCCTGATCCACTTACTCATCCAACACCAGAAAATCAAGATGGGGCTTTTATGAGTGAGACTTGGGTCAGGTTCCAAAAGAGGGCATCCCTAAATCTAGAAAAAGCCAATGAAGCATGCTTGTTGAGTTGTTTTCATGATACATGTAAGAAAAGATGTTCTGGGTCTTCATACCCCTTAGATGTAAGCATTCAATGCACCATTGCTATGTGGGATGAAGCACTAACCTAACCCACAGATAACATCTTCCCCCCAAACAACACAGTATCCAGAGGGACCATGAAAGACTTGACACAACACAAAGCCAGATGCAATGGGTGGACTCCTTCAACTACTATAGGGAGGAAGGTGGAGTGTGGGTGAGAATGCTTCAACCTAGTTGTTGGTATTTTTCCGAACAAACAGCTAAAAACTGGGGAACAGTAGCAAGTTGTGTCTACACAGCATTTTATCAATTCTAAGAAAAGTTAAGATAAGCTTTGCATAAGTGATTTATAAAGCCATGCGGCCTACAAAATGAGGACTGTTGCGTTTCATACCTTCCTGCCAGCTCTGTTGTTATGAAGATTCATCAGGGCTCTGGCATCCTTTCCTTTCCTTTCCTTGGCATCCACAAATGCGCGGGCAAATTTGATCCCATAGTCAATGTTATCACTGCAGCCACCCCAATCAAAAACGCCCTTGCTGTCCTTGCCGCTTCCCATCTTCTTTGGATCACAGGAACAGGATTTTACTTCTCCTTGGCTACAGGCCCTGGTGATGGCAAATACAACTCCAGCTGAGGAGATGGCATAAACAAAGGCAGATTCCCGACTACCTGAAACAAAAATGCTCTTCTTAAAAGTGGTTCGATGGCACTATTTTTGAATAACTTTCATATGGTCATTGTTTAAATACTTGCTCTGTCGCTGACAACCTTTGCCGCTAGACAACAAGGTACTGATATTCTTGAAGGATTCTTTTCTAGAGCCCAGGCTCTTTCTTTAATATGAATTAAAGAATATTTTGAACCTCCATCTAATACAGGTTTTGGTCAATTTAGTTATCTGTATGGCAGCTCTTCTTAAATAAAGAGTATCAAATGGCCTTGCTCAGCTCCTGGTTTCACATTAGTTTCAAACACAGGCTTGCTCTGTTTTAACAGAGAGCTCTAGAAGCCCTAGAAGAGAGAAGTATAGCATCTTTAGGCCTTTTTCTGTACTTTAGAGTCTGAATGCCACAATTCTATCATTCCATAATATAATTGGATACTCACGACACCACAGCTTCCCTCAAAAAATCCTTCCAAACCTCCAGGACTTACTGAAGATACTCACATGCATTTAAATTATGGAGAATGAAATACTGAATTCAAAGAAATCTAGGGACTAAGGTGGGAAGCGAATTCTGGCAGTAACCAGCCCCTTGCATTAACACTGGAGAGCTTGGCTTGGCATTGACTTTCATAAGTAATTGAGAGATTGCTGAAGGCAATATGCAATATCCTCGAGTTACATACTGTATGTCTAACTATTAAGGTGAATTTACTTTCTTCTGGAACACCTGCACTAATCACTGGTATTGGGTAAAAGACAGTGAAAAGCTTTTCTTTGGTTTTTCTGGAAAGAAACAAATTTACCGCCTATAATTAGACTTGGGCAAGAACACTTTGGGGTGCTTTCTTAGAATTGTTCTTTATTAGAGCACAGGCTACTTTCACTTACAGGCTGAAAGGTACATATTTCAGTGCAATAACTACATTAAATTATTTTAATAATCTGTAGTAACTCATAACACGGTGTTGTGGTATAGTGACAGATATAAGGCTCTTTAGGGTCCGTGTGCACCTCATTTTTCAAGTGGAGCTGTATTTCATTGTTATTAGCATGCCCTTTTATTAATGGTTGCTGCGGCAAATATATTAACAATCAAAATAGAAGCTGGACAACCTAATGCCAATGCAAGGCAGAAAACAGAGAGCCATTCGGTGATTCAATATGTCAAGAGGAGTGTGACTTTTTGAACCACACAGCTGGGAGAGCAAACCACCTTTTTGCATTGAAGCCCTGCTTGTTTCCGTTTGTCATTCCGTGTTAAAATTTATTATACATCCTTTGCAATATTTGCTCTGCTAGTCTCATTATTAAAAATCAGGAAAACATATCTACACCATATTAAATGGCACTTACCTCAGCCCTCAGAAAATATTTACCCCCAAACCTCTAACCATCAAAAAAGGGAATCAATCATGCTCTGTAGTTAGGTAAAATCAATTATATGACTATTTGCCATAGGTAGCAGATAGTGCTCTCCAGAGGGGAATATGATGGTTATCAGAGCTGTTTTAAAGAGTCCCGGCTTATACGATATGGATCACAGATATTCTAAGTGGAATTGAGAAGTTTTGTAAAAGAAGGTGACTAATACATGCTAATGTGGCTTAATCTCAGGTAGTGGCTTTCAGATAAATAAAATTTTCATTATATCCATTTTACACTTTAGGAAAATACCTTGTCCACAGTTACCCCATTTATCTTCTAAAGCTTGGTTTGGGATTTAGAAACCAGTGCCTATGTTTAGAGAGATCACATAGAGGAGGAAATTCCCAAATGCTTAAGTATGTAGCATTAGTCTTATTTTTTAAGGAGAAAGAAGAGACATTTTATGAGGTGGTCTTTTACAGTAAAGGCATGGGAGATGTGGATGATAGTATATCAGGTAACCAGATAGTATTTTGAAAGCAACAAGAGAAATAAATTGTCTAGGTGCAGAATTCATCCTGGTATAACTTGCAAACAAGTACATTAACTTGTTGGCTGAAAGAAAACAAATCACAATCTGCTTCATTTCAGAAATAATTTCCAAAGCAAAAATATGACTTTTCTAAATATTTGTCATTTATTTTTCAAACACATTACTACATAGATGTTCCTTTGTTTAAATTAAAAATGTAGCACATTAACTAGTTTTTCACTTTACCTCCAGATGGTTTGGTACCATGTAGATATAGCCCTAAGATGTTTTCAGTTAAGTGTTTTAGATGAATCACTAAAATGTTATGTGTGAAGTAGTAGCACATTTCAAGAGCTGGCTTGGTAACAAAGCAAATTTTGATCTTGGGCCTCTTCTTAGAAAGATTCTTTTTAAAGCTATAACAAAATAAAACAAAATCCAAATCTAAATGGTGACATCTATATTTCCTAATGTGTTGCTATTGAAGTTTCTCTAATTTTTGTATGGAGATAAATCAAGCAATGTCTATTAAGTACATAGGCACAGTTTTTATTTGGGCTAGGGAGATTGTTACCTAGGAAGGCAAAACTCTAGAAGCTAGGGTTTCTTGAAGGTTATGGGTTGTTCAACTCTCTTTTAAAATATTTGCTTTATAAAAAAATATTTACAAGGATGAGACCTAATTACCTTTGTGTTTTCTAAGGCTAATTTGAGAATTTTGGAGGTGTATTCTTGCAAGCATATTTTTGGGTTTGCTAGTTCTTTCCTTGTTTCTCTGCCTGTGACTGGTAACTGTCTGTTGAATGAGTAAATTACAAATGTTTCTAAAAATTGTTCTGTCTTACTCTGACACTGTAAAGCCAGGCAGGCAAATGTTCTCCATTTCTCTATGACCATGGGACATTTTGGTAATTTTATGTTCTCCTTATAAATGTTCTTGCCCTTTGCCTTTCCTCTTTATCTATGAGCCTATTTAGCTGTCCAACGGAGTGTTCCTCACAACTCAAAGAGGTAACTTTCTCTCTAAGCAACTAATTGTAGAAATCTTTGGATAGCTTCATTGGAATTTCTTGATTATTTCCAGTATAAGCTCCTTTAGGCCAAATTCAGCCCTCCTATAACCAACACAAAATCATCAGACAGTCACAAGAGTTTGCATAATGTCTGGGAGGGAATCTGGCCTTCTGTGAAGAATGGAAAGAAATTGTGTAGCATGAGTGGTTTACGTTCTGAGTACTTTGGCAAAGTATTCTGCTTTATCTGAAAAAAATCTGAAGGAAGTACAAATTAGAATCTCTTATTTCTCTGAGGCTCAGACTAAGTCAAACTAGTTCTGTTTCCTGTCACCTAGGCTGGAGTGCAGTGACATGGTGTTGGCTCACTGCAACCTCCGCCTCCCAGGTTCAAGTGATTCTCGTGTCTCCGCCTCCCAAGTAGCTAGGATTAAGGGAATGTGCCACCACGCCCATGGAGTTTTGCCATGTTGGCTAGGCTGGTCTCAAACGCCTGGCCTCAAGTGATCTGTACACCTTGGCCTCCCAAAGTGCTGGGATTACAGGAGTGAGCCCGGCTGTTGCCTCTAGTTCTAACCTCCTTCCTCTCAGCAATTCTGTAGCTCAGAAGAAGCTAATCATATCAATATTAAATTACAGTATTTTATGAATGAATCCCTAGCTTTGGTGGATATATTTTCTTTAGGATCACTGGTCAATATTGCTTCCTTTGATATGCGATCTAAAGATTTTATTCAAATATGTAGACATTTTAATAGATCCAGAGATGATCATTTTACAAATGTATATCTAGTTTGAAATCATTGGAAAATGGTTGTGAGCACTTTGAAAAAAAATCCCGATATGTTTTAAACACCGAGAGCCATGCATAATATATCCAAAGATTACTTGTGCTAGATATTTGCAAACTCTCTTTGACAAGGTCCAGTTTCTTTAATTGATTCACTGGCAAGATAATCTAGGTGAAGTCTTAAAATTCCTTGAAGCTGAATTTATTATTAACCTTTCAAAAATTTGCGATGTCATATTGAAACTCCAAAAGGAATGCAGAAGAATATAGTTCTTAAACTAGAGAATAAAATTGCAGAATATCGCAGTAAATTAACTTTAGGGATACTCTAAGAATGAGAGTACTACGCCCTTGGGGGATTTTAGAGACATTCAGTTATGCATTTGGCCTCATAAAACCCTAGGGCTGTGATGATTACATGATAGAAACACCCTCTGTTAAGCATTACCAAGTGCACAGTCCGGATGATTTTCTTAGGAATGGGGGGGGTAGGCAAAAACAAGTACAAAGTTTCCTATTTCGGGGATTCGCACATAAACTGCTGTGTTTTCAGTCAGATTTTCTAATAGCAAATAGGCTGTGGTATTTTTTGGAGAGTGCTAATAATGCCAGGTTAGCAGATGGGTATTATTTGAAAATAAAATATGATTTTCAATTAATTTTCTTGAGTGTATACTAGCTAGTGGGCTACTTTACATACGCAGAACTTTTAAGAAGTTTATTATGTAATAAGAAAATGTTTAAGGTTCCTGTTAAGGAAGAAAAAAACTTCTATGTATTCATGTTTCCCACCTCTATCCCTCATAGTTATCTTTATTGCTTAAAATGTAGCTGGAAAACGATAGGTACCCGCTACAAGTTTATCCATTCATTCATTGCAATGAATGAACAGGGCCTGCAACACACAAGGCACCAAGCAAGGTGCAGGGAATACGGGTTAGTTTCTGCCCTTATAGAATTTACAATCTGTTGGGAGGAAAACTGTTGAAATTAGGCACGGGGTGACCCAAAGCTGAATTGTTGAATGGAAGGTCAAAGGTAGTGAGTAGAGATTTGTCTCTCCTTAACATTTACGTGGTGTTTTGTAATACCGATAATCTTTTGCTGAGGAAAGATTTGAAGATTCTATCCTGATGATCTGCTCAAATTCTTCTGGAGGAAGCCCCAGAAAGACCAGGAAAAAGTCAAAAGAGACTTGTGGCTCCTTCTCTCTTATCTCTTAGAGATGAAATTTGAACCTGGAGGATGTGCAGTATTGTAGTAATGGACAGAGCAAAGAGTGAAAAGACAACAGCCTGGGGTTCTACTTCTTCCTTGTAATTCACCTCTTGTAAGCCTCCAGACTTGTTCCTTGATTTCTCTAGTCCTCACCTATAAAACAGGGACAATTACAGCCATCAGAACAAACTTCTGATGGAGTAAAGTGCAATAGAAATGAGAAGGTCTCTGAAGACTGAGTGAAGGGAGCTGTGCATGAGTAGAGAGCCACAGGGCTGGGTGAAGACAGGAGACTTACTTCGGAGTAGGACCCTGCCAAAGAGGCTGTGATCCCTGTCCAGAGTGTTGCAATTCCAGCGGTGCTGGCGGAACTGGTACTGGCATTCTGAAGTCCACTCGGTCACGCCCAGGCCAATGGCACGCATCACATCTGGGTGTCGGTGACACAGCTGCCGCTGGCTGCTCACCAGGCCTGGCACATTATCACACATCACCCTGGACGAGCCACCTGTAGCTCCCATGTACCTATGAGGGACCAACCAACACAGAGGTGAGGGCAGCATGAACAGGGAGGCTTAGTGTTCCTGGGAGACTAAGGAGTTCAAAGCACTTTTCAAATATGAATTCCTTATCCTTTTGGTGTTATTGGAAAGAAAGGATATTTAGTTTTTAATTTAGTGGAGAAACAGGCAAGGCAGGCAGTCATAGTGATCTTGCAGAAGTCACCCCAAAGGTGTTGTGGTGACTGTTGAACATGAAGCTAGGTTCACCAGATGATGCTCCAGGTAGGGGAACAGAGGCAAAGTCGGCATTTGGGGAGGTGAACAACGGGTAAGAAGCAATATATCTTGAGGAGAACGCGTGGAAGACTTTTCTCAAGAAGGCTCAGATCTCAGTGACACAATGTGTCTGGACTTGGCTTTGGGGGAAGCTGACCTTAAAGCTCTTCATTCCCATTTATTTGACAGAATGTCTTAAGAACTGTCTGTATCTGTCTAATCAACACCTGCTGGTATCTGATGTTACACTCTCCTCACAGACAGGCTGTTCTTTCCTTACTGAAGAGTCTTTTAAATATTTCCATTTTGTAGCTCTTTTTGGCTTTTATAAAAATCCTTTGGAAAAAATTCTTTCTATTGTTATTAAGGACACTAAATGTTTGGAAGAATCAAACAGTGTTATAGCTCCATAAAGTACTTTTTGAAAAGAAACTTTAACAAAAAATTACATCATCATCTCTACCCAGATGTTCTCTATTAGTCATGAAATGTTTAGAAAGGTACCTTTTATATAACCCAAGCTGCCATAGGTGTCTTTTGAAGCGATCAAACAAGGAGAATGTCTTTTTCTTGTATTTTCATTATTTTATATGATCATAAAATCGTTACAGCTGTGACTTCCAAAAAATATATTTAAGTGACAGCTGAGAGACAATGTGACAAAAAGCCTGAGCAATAAATAACGTTTATACACCCATGGAAACAGAAATAGTCATTTTATTGAAAAATGGTCAGTCTGATAAATCAATCTTTGATCCTGTGTCAGCAATGTCAAGGCTAAACGCCTCCCTGTTCAAAGCGGGCTTAGGAAGGAATTGAACCCCTCTTCCCAACAGCACATTGCCTTGCTCTTTTGAAGAGCTCCAGTGTCTTCCTAAAAACTTCCCTGTTCTAGTCTGTAATTTAGCTGAGACCCCTTACGTTTGCCAGATTCTTTAGAAAATAGCCCACAATAACGAGTCTCTCTGAATCGGTATTTTAATATCTGTTCTGAAACTTTTAGGTGCAAGGACATTATAGGGCTATCAACTCTGTCTCTTTCCAAGACCAGAAAGTCGGCAGATGGAGAACAGTTTCTAGATGGGGAGAGAATCTGCCTTTGGGACTTTTAGCGATGCTAAGACCTGTTATGGTTCAACATTCCATCACTATGCAAAAATGAATAAATAAATTGCAGATCAACGTACAAAGGAAAGCAGCAAAGTTACTTTGCGGGGACGGTTGTGTACAGTGTAACGTCTTAGACCCCGGGGTCTGTAGCTTTGCATTAAAGCGATAGTCTCTACCTGGAGGCAGCAACATGTTCTTCCGCCCCATTGGGGTGAAACATTAGGAATGTGGAAGGACGGGAAATAATACAAAATCACACGCTTTGGGCTCTACAACTCCTGACTGCCTGAATTGGCCCGTCGATTTACCTTGGGGGGCGGGGGTGGCGGTTATAGTTTTCAGGGTGAATTCTCACACACACACACACACACACACACACACACACACGACACATGACTGTGCTGGAGCTGGAGATGGGCTAGCACGTCTCTCGACAGGATAAGAAATTGGCTGATTTTGCTGTCGCTCAGCTGGATCCAAATAAACCAAACATCAGAGCTCTCATTTGAGGGGGAATGTGGTTTTTTGGAGTTGTCAAAGCTGAAATGATCTTCCAGAAAAAGAGAAGGGGCTCATCACTGGGTGATAAGAGGGCAGTAGCCAGGGTTCGGACCAGAATCCGAGATTGCTGCGGCCTCGGGGAAATGCAGCCAGGAAAGGTCTATGTGGCCAGTGCGGTCCCCGCTCCGATCTCCAAAATACCCCCGTGCCGGTGCGCATGGACTTACCACCATGAAGAGCTGACCTCAGGGGTGAGCCAGGTCAAGAGCAGAGGGAGCCAGAGCCAGATTCCACGGAGAGGGGAGTTCATATTAACCCCCCTTGCGTCTGCATCAGGTCAGACTCCGTGTGCGGGCGCCATGCGTGCCCAGAGCAGAAGCGCTCAGCTCCGGGAGCGCCTCGTCACGGCCCCCGGCGCCTCGCCGCGCCCCCGCCCCCCGCTCGCGTCTGCGACGAGTGGCGAGACTCGCTGATAAAGTTTCAAACGATGGGCCCGGCGAGAGATAAAGGCCAGCCTGGGCTGCCTCGCCCACAGCCCAATTCCCCAGGCGCAACAAGCGCCTGCAGCCCGAAAGCTGTGCGCGCCTCAGGCGCGCCCCAGTCCGCTCTGCTCCCCTGCGCCTGAGGGAGGGGGTGCTGCGCCTGGCGGGGGTGGGGAGAAGCGTGGGGTTTTAGACAGCAGTGCATAAAATGATGGCAAGAGATGTCTGGGGATGAGGTGAGGCGGGAAGGGGGAACACCCCTGCGTGGCTTCGAGCACACGCGAACACAAGCACCTTTAGGGAAGCTGATGGCCAAAGAGCATCCGTGGGCTCCAGGAGCGCGTGTTCCGGATTGCCAAGGCCATCCGCTGGCAAACAAGTCCCTAAGCGTGCAATGTGGGGAAACGATAAGGGGCGGGATGGCGGGATAAGGAGATTCCTATGCATGGGATACAAGAATCCAGTGATGATTTTCAACTCATTGCTTCGCTTCTCTCCCTGACCCTGGGATGTAAATTTGGAGCTGCTGCGTCTATGCAGGGCAAGGTTGGAGAGGGAGGGGCAGGCCTTGACGAATTGACCTGTTGGCTTTGATTCCTTGGTGCTGGGCTTATCTAAGGAGCCCATAGGGAGGGGAACCTGGAGGGTCCATGACCCCTCGGACCTCACCCAGCAGTATCTGCCAAAGCACCCGGGAAAGACGCAGTTGTTCCGCACACCCAGCTCCTCCCTGGCACTGCGGAGCGCAAAAGATCACATAAGAGGAATCGAGGCAGCCAGGCATAGCGTGTGCCCTTGCACCTTCCGCCGCCCGGGCACTCAGTCTGTGCACCTTGGGGAGGTTAAGGGACCCCTGGTCCCAGACATGGGCCCCTGCCTAGCCAAGAGAGAGGGGCTCGGCCCGTGGGTGGAGCATTTTGAGCAGTAGTTGGCTTGTAGCCGCACCGTTTATCACTGGAAAGGAAGGAAGACCAGGAACTCGTGGCGGCCGTGAACTGTTCCATTGCTCTTTTCCTGGGGCGGAGGGACTTGCTGCCCGCCCGAGGAGCGTGCTCTGGGGACTAGAGTGTGCGTGTGTGTGTGTGTGTGTGTGTGTGTGTGTGTGTGTATGTGTGTGTGTGTCGAATTGTTGGCAGGGCATGGGGGAGGGGGTGCCGCCCAGATCGGAAGGACGGGCTCTCCCTCTCGCCCGCCCACCCTCGGGCCTGGACTGGCCAGAGCGTCAGCCCTCACTGGCCGAGAGCGCCGTGAGAGGCTGGACGAAGCTAAGCTTTGAGAAGCCAAAAACCTGAAAGATGCTGTCATCGCCAACCCCTTCCCCCACGCTGGTCCCTGGCAGGTCCGGCCCCTCCCAGGCTGACCCAGATACATCCCCGTTTGGGTCCGGAAAGGGAGGGGAGGGAAACAAGCACCGCGCCACCCACGACTCGGGAAGAGCAGGGCTCCTCGCCAGGGCCGCTCCGTATCGCTGGGCCGCGACCCAGGGAAGTTCTGCTCGGTCTACGCCGGTTGGGTGGGAGGTTCAGGCAGGGCTCATGGGGAGGTAGGCGGCAGGGCGGGGGAGCGTTTCTGCTCACTGTGTGTGCACGCTGGCCACTAGAAGGATATGACAGGCGCCAAACAGCAACACGTCTTTCATGCACCTCCATGCTTATGCTCACAAACCTCCTTCCCCGATGAGGCAGAGGAGTAAACTGAAGCTTACCTCTACCCTCTTTTGTCCCGTAGTTTCTTGAAATAAGTCCAGACACTTGGGAAAGAAAAGGCGGTTGGCTCCAAGGAGCCATACATTGCCAAAATTTCACTTCTACCATGAATGAAGTAGGGGTGTGGATGTGTGTGTCGGGAAAGGTAGGCAGTCATATGATTGTCTCATGGAGAATAGGATTTGAAACCAGCTAAAAAACTCCAACTCAACTTCCACCCATCTCAGCACATCGTGTCCTGATAGCTAAGGGGTGTTAAAGGACACAGAATGTGACCATCAGCTTACAGGCCCTTCCTCTCCGCCCAGGGAATTAGTGAGTGGCCAGGAGACCTGCCCTTCAGTTGATGGTGAGGCCAATGGAATGACCTAAACCTGAAACAGACCTCCTGGAAAAGGAATGGACCATCCCCAAAAGCTAATTAAATCCACGCCAGAGGACTTCATCCTGGGGCAGGAGGAGGAGGGGTGCCACATGTCTCACAGAGAAGAAATTGGTTTTGGTGAAAGGCAAAAGGCTGAAGAAGTTTGAGCAAAGAAAGCTAAATCCAGATGTGAAAGAAGGGTCCACCCAAACACCCCTTCCTGACCTGTCTAGAGACCGTCTGGACTCAATGACTTGTCTCTTCCAGATCTGTGATTCCATTTCCCTCCCATTCTCCACCCCTTTCACTTATGAACCATGACTTAGCCCCAGTATGACTTATTTTCCTGCCAAGAAGGCCTTTACTCCCTCCTTGTCTGTACCTATTCTTTGGATGGACCCCTTCACTTTGAAAATAAGTTGTTCACTAGTAGACTTAGTTGGGAAATGCTCAAGAAAATTAGGAGGAAAGAAGTTTACAGCAAACCTCACTTCTCTCACCATCAAAACTACCATCCTAAAGAAGAGTTAATAAGTAATGAAATAACTTGCATATAATTTCAGCCTAGCTATAGCAGATGATGAGGTAAGGAAAGAGAGGGTCAGAGTGCCTTTAGATTTAAGAATTTAAACATCCGATTTTTTAATTTCTTCAGTGAGAAATCTCAGAACTGACTGTAAAATTCATTTACAATATACAGAACCCGGTTCTCTTTCTAGAGCTTAATGTTAGTTTGCTTGCAACTTCAGTATAGCACTGTAGCCAAATGAGTCAGTCTATTTTCTTAGTTAGATCCATTGTTTGTCTAATCTCCCAGGGCAGAGTAAGAAGTCATTTACTACTGAGCCATCTCCACCCTTTAAAAATGGAGAGTTACTTCTCAACCAAATAGTCATTTGTCTTTCAGTCTGAACTGGCTTCTTCCTCAGGCAGTGACTCCTAACATAGCCACTCAGTAACCAAAGCATACATTCTAGTATCAATTATTTAAATCTCAGTGTGCCTTTAAATCAATGTGCACCAAAGACTTTTGCTTCCAGCCATGCAAGAGTAACAAGTACCTGACTTGCTCTCCTTTTCAGGTATTGGACAGTAGGCAGCACACAGCTGTGATCCTTGAGAGAAGGGAAACACATTAGGTTTGCTCCAAAACTATCCTATAATTGTCCAAGTTTTTTTGCTGAAGAGAAAGACATTTTTCTAGAATGGAGGAAGGTGGAACACAGGCAAGGCGGTAGTTTCAGTTAACGAGGGAGAGACTGGAGTTTTGGGCTGTTGAAGCAGCTGAATTTCTGAAGATAGGTAGCTATGGAAAAGGGACCCCCCCACCCCCGCAAGTCTACATGGAGATTCACCACCAGTCCTTGGCCAAAAGCTAAGCTGAATCTAGACATGACAAGACTCTGCAAGGCCTAACAGAGATTACCTGCTCCATGTAGTGCATTGTTGAGAGACATTGAAGTTCCATTGCAGCAGGGCAGACAGACCTCATTGAGCACTTCAGGCATTCAATTGAGGTGCTAGAAAGGCCTTGCCTTAAAAGTAATAGGCTAAAAAGCATGTCTTAGAGCAAAATTCAAAATCTTGTTTCCCCATAGCACATACTCTAATAAAGAATAATAACAAAACAGACAGGACTAGGAAAATTTATAAGAATGAAACAACACCCCTTAAAAGAAAACAACATGATACAGACTCCCTGCAATGGATCATCAACAATAAAAAATTTAGTATGCTGCACACAGTGGTGTATGTCTATAGTCCCAGCCACTTGGGAAGTTGACAAGGGAAGATCACTTGAGACCAGGAGTTCAAATCCAGCCCAGAGCAACATAGCAAGATTCTGTTTCTAAACCAACTAACCAACAAACAAAAATGGACAAAAATTACCTATACACAAAAGTTACCTATACTTAAGAGAAAGCAGTCAATAGAAACTGACCCTGAGATGGCCCAGATATAAAAGGAATTGGTAGGAAGGAAATTTTAAAGTAACTATTATAAATATATTCAGGTATTTAAAGGAAAATAGAATGAACAAGTAGACAATAAACAAATAGAGAATATCAGTAGAAAAAATGGAAGCGAAATAAATGAAAATTCTAAACCCTACTAATACAGTTATCTAATTTCCAAAATTTCTACTTTCTGAAATGGAATTCCAGAAAGAAAGCAGAAGAAATGGGGCAAAAAATATTTGGAAATAATGCCCCAAATTTGACCCACATGATGGAAAACATAAATTTACCAATCTAAATAAGGTGGAAAATTTCTAAAAGACTAAATGCTCAGCATATCACACTGACACACATCAAACTATTTAAAGCCATGGATGAAAAATCTCTAAAGCAGCCAAAGGAGAAAGATACGTTATATATAGGAGAACAAGAATATGAATTACACCTGGCTTTTTACCAGCAACAATGAAAGTCAGAAAACAATGGAATGACATCTTTAACATGCTAAAAGGAAAAAAAAGTCCACATAGAAATCTATAATCAGTGAAAATACCCTCTGAAAATGAAGTAGAACTCTTCTCTTGTTTCTTCTTCACTTAACCTTGGGAATAAGAGCCACATTGCATTAATAAGAGCAAAATGAAAACAGAGCAAGCTGAATAAAGTTTAAAGCCAACCCTAGACAGGATAAAGATTTCCCAGTGGTACTTTTTTTGCTATTCAAAAGAAAACTCCACCCTCCCTTTTTAAACATTTAAAAACATTTTTTTGGTTGGAGTCTTGCTCTGTTGCCCAGGCTGGAGTGCGGTGGTGCAATCTCAGCCCACTGCAACCTCCATCTCCCTAGTTCAAGCAATTCTCCCTGCCTCCGCCTCCCAAGTAGCTGGGATTACAGGCACCCACCACCATACCCAGCTATGTTTTGTATTTTTTAGTACAGACCTGGTTTTGCCATGTTAGCCAGGCTGGCCTTCAATTCCTGACCTCAGGTGATCCGCCCACCTTGGCCTCCCAAAGTGCTGGGATTACAGGCATGAGCCACCACACCCAGCACACCCCACCCCACCCCACCCTCCTTAAAGGACCATAATATCATTCAGGGTCTCCACAAATTTTTAGCAAATGAAAAAT